CCCCAAAACCCCAAAACCCCAAAACCCCAAAACCCCAAAACCCCAAAACCCCGGAAGTGGTAAAACTTTTTGAAAATATTTATTAAATTCACGATTTTTTATCGAGAATCTTTCATTAATGCTTATGCAACAGCTCTCTTCTTTTTTCCTTTTGGCTTCTTGCTAGTGGCATTCTCAAGGGATTCAAAATGCTCCATATTAATATCTTCCCCAGCTAAAGCTTGCTCAAGGTTCTCATAAGCCGATTTCTGTATGCATTGTGTATTTTGCAATCTCTGAATGAGCTCTAATTCTTCTTGTTCCATCTTTGCTACCATTTTTTCATGCTCCATTCTACGTTGATTCTCTCTCAACACCTTCTCATCAAGATTAGACCTGGCTTTGGCTTGCTTCTCTGCATAATCTCTTCTACGTCTTTCTTCTGCTTCCTTCTCTCTATTTCTGATCATCTGTTTAATAGAGGTATTCTTGAGTTGATCTTGTTGTTTTTGCATTTCAACTAGCTCTTCTTGTTCCTTCTTCTCTTGTCTTAATCTTTCAGCCTCTCTTTTTCTCTTCTCCTCTATTGTCTCCTTGGTTCTCTTTATTCTGTCCTTGATTTCGTGCCTCATGTTCTCATTTTGGACTGAACGCTTGTTCTCCTCTTGTTGACGTCTGCGGAGTAACTCCTTATTTCTGCATCTGCTTGTCTACATTTCTCTTTTTGGTCGTGACTATTTCCTTAGCTCTCTTCTTGGTCTCATTGATCTTCTTCCTAGCTCTTGACTCTTCTTGCTTTAGAAGTTTGATTCTATTTTCAAGCAGCTTGGCATCTTCATCTGCTCTTTGTCTTGCTTTCTTACTTGCCCTTAATTTCTCATATAACAGCTCAACATCATCATTTTCACTGACTTCTTCGAAATTGATTTGGTACTCTCCATTATTTTCCCCTTGGGGTTCATCTTCTTGCTCATAGTCATGTAATTCATCTTCGTGGTCATACCCCATCTCTTCGTGGTTCTGATCTTCATGTTCAGGATCCATTGTTAGATAGTTGTTATAATAAAATTATTTATTTCCTTTAGCAGAGATTTCTAAGGGGTTTTGGGGTTTTGGGGTTTTGGGGTTTTGGGGTTTTGGTAGGGGTTTTAGGCTCGATT